CGCAGGAAATAAACTCAGAAATAAATAAATGGGATTACATTAAACTAAAAAGCTTTTGCACAGCAAAGAAAACAATCAACAGAGTGAAGAGATAACCTATAGAATGATAGAAAATATTTTCAAATCATACATCTCATAAGGGGCTAATATCCAAAACATATAATGAATTCAAAGAATTCGATAGGAAGAAAACAAACTGATAAAAAAATGAGCAAAGGATTAGAATAGACATTTTTCAAAAGAAGATATACAAATGGGCAACAGATATATTAAAAAATGGTCAACATCTCTAATTATCAGGAAAATTAAAGCCTCAATAAACTATCAATTCATACCTATTAGAGTGGCTATTATCAGAAAGACAAAAGACAAAAAGTGTTGGGGAGGATGTGGATAAAAGGAACACTTGTGCACTGTAGATGGGAATGTAAATTAGTACAGCCATAATGAAATACAATATTGAGGCTCCTCAAAAAATTAAAAATAGAACTCAAATATGATACACCAATCCTATTAAGTGCTAATGTCCAAAAGAGATGAAATCAGTATGTCAAAGAGATATCTACACTTCCATTTTCATTGCAGCATTATTCACAGTAGCCAAGATACAGAATCAAGCTAAGTGTCTGTGGATGGATGAGTGAATAAAGAAAATGTGGTTTGTATACATAAGGTAATGCTATTCAGCTTCAAAAAGGAAGGAGATCTTATTGTTTGTGACAACATGGAAGAACAAAGAGGACATTATTTTAAATGAAATAAGCTAGGCCATTCACCAAAAGAAACATACCACATGATCTCCCCTACATGTAGAACCTACAGAGTTGAACTCACAAAATGAGAGTAGAATGGTGGTTACCCAAAGTCAGAAAGGGGATCAGATGGGAGTCTGGGAGACATGGGTCAAAGGAAACAAAGTTTCAATTGGATAGAAGAAATAAGAGATCTATTGTACAACATGGTAAATATAGTGAATAACAATGTATTGTATTCTTGAAATTTGCTTGAGACTGAATTTTAAGTGTTCTAACCACAAAAAATGATAAGCATATGAAGTAATGCTCATGATAATTAGCTAAATTTAGGCTTTCTAC